TAAGATAATAAAAATGAAATCAAACTATCATACATTTTTAGATACTGTTGTTAATGCTACAATTACGTTCATGAAAAAATAAATAAATTAGTTATGGTTACTTATAGATCTTTTTTTCAAACTATTCTTTATGCATTTATGTTTTCTAGCATTGAAAAAAAATGTTTTTTTAGCATTTAAGGAAATGGTGTCCACAAGATAACTGGGAAGACATATCAGCGCAGATTGGGCTGAGTGCAAGGTCACAATTATAGTGAAAACTTTCTAATACAGCATGGAAACTGGTGTTGTAGCAGTTGTCTTTTTTTTATAATTGTTAATGGTTTACTGGATTCATCCAGGGCATAACATGATAACCGGCACATCAGTTGTTTAGGTTCAGATTCAGGTATCTTCTCTTGTACACTTAATGCCGAATCCAGGAAGTTATGTTACAATTGAAGATTGAGCAGAGGAAGATACATGTCTAAAACTTGGGTTCTCATTTTTGCTCTTTTTTCAGCTGGAACCAATTTCTTCATTGAAGATAAATTTTTATTTTCATTTATAACTTGGATAGTATGATCTTACTCCAATATATTATTTCATAAATGTTCTCAACTTCGTATTTTATCACTCTATTCTCTATTGCAATTAATACAAATACTTCTGAATTGTATTTTATTCCGTTCATTTTCCTCAAACATACAATCTATTTGCAACAGAGACATTTTCAAGGCATAAATGATCATTCTGGTAAACCTTTGTTCTGTGCTGAATCTGATTACGTCATATGTTTGAAACCCCAAACACTGAAGTTAATTACAGTGTTATGTTTAGTACCCTATGCTTTTGTATGACTGACTAACTGACTTACAGCCAAATAGACTATGTATCACAGATCCTGCTTTACGATAACAATTAGCCGAAGTTCAACATCTTCCTGTTGCAGCTTAGTATACATCTACATAGCTATTTCAGTGACCAAAGTTTTCATGGCTGTGTTGACTTGCTATAAGTACAGAGTATCTTTTGAGTGTTCATTTCAAGTGCTTTCAGTTTGTATCAGTCAACGGTACCTTTCTTATAATCCAAACAGTGAAACATTTTTAAACTGTTAAAAGTTTGCTAGGCTCCTTGATGATTCTAAGTCTGCCAGAATGAAGTAAGTCATTACCTCCTTTTGGTGCTCATAAATAGCTTCCAAATCTTTATAACATGTGATACTTGTGGTTGAAAATTTATATTATTTCTATACAAAATGTTATTTAAAATCTCCATGTGATCATATTAATGATTGGACACCTCAATTATAATTGCTTTGACACCCATATGATCTCCTTATCTTTACTCTGATTTTAACTTTCGCTGAATTGTATTAGTCAGTTTATGATATTTTTCTTATATTTTACAAGTATAATAAAATCCTGGAGGGCATTCAGAAGAAATGAGATTTATGTAAAACGAAGTATCATATAGTGTAACTAGGAAAAGCAAAAGATGGAGAATCAACAGTACAGTACACAGAAGAAGGACGTCGGTAATGTCAGTAATGGAACTCTTTTTCTACCTCCTGGAAGGCAGCCAGTCTCTACACGAGAGCTCAGTGCTTACCGGAACAAGCCCTAGGAGTGTCACCTAAATTGGTTCCTGCTCTTTTCTATTATTCATCTGAGTAATAGAACATTTTCATTGAAGCTTTATAAGATAGATAGTTTACATTTCCATATTTTGCCCTAGGACCACATACCTCTTTGAAGAAAGAGTACTGTACTGCTATCAACAATTGAGCAATTATTTCTTTCGAATTTTAGAAATTCATTGTCTAGAACGGAGATGTACCTTTCATTCACAGAGTGAGCATTTTACCTCGAATATATTGGCAGTACTTACTAATTAAGGTACCTGCAGTCATCAGTTTTTTAGAGCCCTTCTAGAATATGAAAGGGCCTCAACTTCAACTGGAACCTTAGACAACACTTTCAAAAAGCCCAGATCACTGGCACCTGCACTAATATGGTCTGTGTTTCTAGGATAGGCATGCTTATGCAAGACTGGTTGTTAATGCAGTATCGTATTTCAAATGTCACCATACATTGAGGTGTCCACTTGAGCTGAGCATCAAGTTTCGTCTGAGAAAATATAAATGGTGTCACTATGGCATATACTGAGATAAATGATATGATGTGAAAGCTATAATATTCATCACTTATTTCTTTGTGATGGGATGTAGCCAGTTCTCAATAGTTTCATGTTTAGTTCAAACATGGTGATGGCTTAGAGTTGAAATTGCCAAAAATCAATGCATTTATGGTAGCTTAAACTTTAATATACCTTTTCTCATTTGAAGAAGTACTGTTTTCCTGATTTTTAATGTGTACATAGGAAACCTTATCTAGAGATCAGAACATCAGTGTTAGCTTCCCCAATGACCAAGATGTTGCTGGGATAATTCGTAGGCAACGAATCATGACCTTAAAGTTGTGCACAGTTCGAATGCTACTGATTTTGTCCATATATACTTGCCGTTATCCTGCAGTCAGATCCAAGATAGAGAACTGCTAAGCAATGACTAATCTATCTAAAAAACATTCACCTTAAATACCACTAATGGATCACTGTCAGTCTACAAAGAGGGAACCATATATATTTATATATGGTTCCTCTTTGTAGACTGACAGTGATCCAGTAGTTCTATTTAAGGTGAATGTTTTCTGGGTGGATTATATCACTCCCCTAAGATATTTATGTCTATTTACACTTATCCTGATTTGGCTTTGCCTGCTCAAAAAATGTATCCAGTCTCCTTGAATTGCTAAGAAAACTTAAGTTCCATTATTGGAGCATATCTTGGTTGGGTAGGTCATTTCTGCCTCTTGTTAAAAACTGCTTACTATTTCTTCTTAGTTTTATGACTAGTTTTATATTTATTGTCATATCTTTCTCTACATAGAAGTATTCTTGGTGTCAGCTGGAAAGGTTCTGGGACATACACTTTCAAATATAATTACTCTGGTTTCTGTGTCTACCAGAATCTCTCTCTCCCATTCACTGTCAGATACACACAAACATGCCTCCACAGCCTCCTTGGACATTTATTTTGCTGACATTGAGCTTTGACTTCTCACTAAATATAACCCTCTCTAGACCGAATTAATAGGTCAATTTTACCTGTGTCTTTACAGTTTAACATTGATGTGACAATAAATACAGAAATCCTGCATCTTTTTATTTGTGGATTCATTAAAGTGTGAGCATGTCCTTCTTCCCAATGACATTGTAGATATTCACAAGTGAAACAATGACCATTATTGAGACACCGGTGTGAATATTAATTATTCTGAAAGCTTCCTTTAAAATTAGCCAAGGACTGTTGCCCAGTAATCACTGCTGCTTATTCAGGTTTTTTCTACTTTACTATATTTTCATTCCCGTAACTAGCTTATAATGTAAAGAGGCGTACTTGTCCATGTTTATTATGAACAGACGTTAATTTGAAAGAGGAGATATAAAAGAGGACAAAATGAGATTGAAAGAAACAATTCCAATGATCAAGAGTCTCAAAAAGGCTTATCATGCAAGAAGAGTAAGTGAGTGCCAAGCTTGTAATAAGTGAATGAAAACAAACTGCATGTTTGATGCATAGGTCTGAGACCCCCTATTTGGGGCACAATACTTCACTCAACAGTCTTTTAACTAATTTGCAACATAGAAAGTAAGTCTCTCTGCATTTCCTCTTCCCCTGTTTTGAATTTACATTGTAGATGACTCCACTTTCCTTGAGTTTAAATCATTTTTCAACTTGTATGCAACAATTTATCTAATCTTGGGGGTTGAGAGATTGAAAAGCATATTATATATATTGACACTTTCTGTACTATAATGAACCTTTGTGTAACCTGGATTTCTTCAGGTCTTCCACCTGCATACTTCTTTGAGCTGGGCTACAAAATGCATGGAATACCTGTAAGAGGTACACGAGGTCACCTTCCTTTTTTTCTCCCAGTGTTTAATCAAGACTCTTCTGTGTACTGATTCAGTGAATCAAACCTTCCACTGGTACTATCTGCTATATATTGTATAATGTGTAGGCCGTGTAAGATCTATGCCTAGGAACCTGATAGCTAACTGATAAAACTTAAAGTCGTCGTTGCTGTGCATTCAGTGTTATATCTGAATATTATTTTAGTGAAGTTGGCAAATTAGATTCGTGTTCGTTGGGTTAAGATACGGCCTGAACAGGCTTCAGAATGAAAGCGCGGCAAGATGAAGCATACTATGCAGCCATCTCGTGCAACCTCAGCAAGAATTCGTCTCCTGAAACTAGCATCACTCTAGTAGGTTTCAAGCTATGTGGTACAACAGAGAGACACATAAAACATTCAGCCTAAAAAGTGGATGTTCTTCATACGTAAATATCTTTATGGTTAGTTTCTAAGTTTTAGTGTACTAGAATAATCCATGCCATAAGTGAAGTTATCTTTTGTTTAACCTCTGTGAATCTTCGATTCAAAACAAAGTGTACTTTTAGATCTAAAAATGTTTTTTTTTCTGGTTTCAAATATTTTTTCAGTGTTCCTATAGTCGCTCCCATTGACTTAGCGGCAAGTCTGAAGGCTTATAATCTATAACGAGAAACACAGAGTTTCGATACCCGTGATAGGCACAGCACAAATAGCCAATTGTATAACTGTGTGCTCATGTACAATGAAACAAAAACTGTTCCTGTATTTTATTATTTTTTGTTAAATAATTCAACTATTTTTAGACCACTGATTGCCTAAGTATAAAAAAATATAATTTTGCTCATGTTTGTAATTTTCGATTTTGGGGAATGGGAATTAAATCACCGTTTCATATACAAAAATGTATATTTACTATACACTTCAACTAATTATTTTTTTTATAAAGCTCGAAAATTAAAAACAGGGTTCGAATTTTATAAATAATATCATAATGCTGGTGATATAGTATATCGTAATGATGAATATTTTTCGGTTATTATCCGCTAGATGGCAATGTCGTATCTAAGGAAAGATATTTGTCAGTTTTTGGAAAGATGGTTTGATTATGAGAATAAATAGTTTTTCGTTTGAAATGAAGCGAAGTCGGAGTGAACTTGTTTCTTCAGCAGTGGGCAGCTTTCTGAGAAGAAGACAATATTCGGTAAAATTAAGTTTATAATGATAATATTATGTACATGATAGGCTCATTACTGTCATTCAACACTTCTTATTTAAGACTTAGGTCACAAACTTGACTAAGTAAAGTAAGTTTAAAATTGTAATTACAAGTGTGAATAGAAGCTGAAGTAACAATGGTTAATCAAGTTGGTATAAAATTACATCTAGTCCACTGTTTCTTGCTGTTTTAGTTGTGTTATCATTAAGTTTCTGTGGTATACACGTTACATGGTCTTGATGCGATTGCTGAAGCTCACAAAAATAGTAGGTACATTGGTGCACTCCACCCATTTAAACTTAAAGTTTAACTTTATTATACTTGTAACCTAATACCTGTTGAAGCTAGGTTGTTAGTGTCTCTACTCACAATGTGCGGGTCATGGGATCAAACACTGTCATCTAACGTGCTCACCCTTTCAGTTATGAAGCATTATAAATATACAACAGCAATTCCACTATTCGTTGGTAAAAAGTGGTTCAAGAATTGGTGGTGAGTAGTGTTGCTAGCTGCCTTCCCTTTGTTTGTCACTTCAAAATTAGAGATGGCTAGTGCAGATACCCTTCAACTTCAAGTAGATTTTACATGAAATTCAACAAACAACTAACACCTGTTGAAGAATGATAGTGTTTGTTTTGTTAATAATATTGTATATGACAATTTTGAAAGAAATGGTCATAAGTGAAAACTACAACTTGGGGTTTTATTAGGAAAAATTCTTAATTTCAAGGTTCATAATTAAATTATGTTTTAATTTTATGATAGATTTTTAGCAACAAGAAGTTACAGTTTTTAATTTTTTTACTGATAAACTACTTGAAATGTGCCGACCAATCAATTTCAAACTGTGCTGATAACATTCAATGTTCTTGGAAATGCCTAATGTAAATCACTAAATGTAAGAAATACAGAGTATGATTTTTCGACCTATCTTAGGTCTTGTTAAGAAAATGGATGTCACATCATTAACATTTCATCCTTCTTTTAACATTCCATTATAAATTTTACCATACTTCTTAGCCTAAACATACCCTTTGAAAGTGTACATTGTTTTGGTGATAAATATTTATTCTTGCAGATATTTTAGTTTAATTAAAATTTAATTTAAGAAGCATAATTAAGCATGACAATAATGGTCATTTGTATGACAGAGCAAAAAATTAAATAATACACAGATGTGATACTGGTAAGTGATGATGTAATAATAATACGTTTCATATTTAAATTTTGAGTATGATGAATTAACATCATAACACAAAGGTTTACAGGTTACATTGCCCTTAAATTTTTAATAAATTTTAAAATGAGTACTAACAAGTGTATTGTGCCAGCCTTTTTATATGTGAATAAACTAGGTTTTCATGTTTATGGTAACAAAAGTTGGTTTTGAATGATTGACTTCCAGTAATGTATACACACCTCTTACTGACTCAATCAGGTAGTCATAGTACCAGGTTTTACATTTTGGGATCTAACAATGAAGTTCTGTATTCTTACTTTATCATAAAGACTAGACTTAGAGTAATGAGTATCATGAAAATTATGATGTTTTTTTTTCATGAGAAATTGTGCCTGAGAGTGTCAAACATTTGCTTGGCTTCATAAATAACAAGCAAAAGCACCCCCCCCCCCAGTGATGGTAAAAGTTTAAGTTAATCTATCAATTTAAATTATTTTATGGACTTTAAAAAGATTAATTGTGTTGCACTCTTGATTTCACTCAGAGCCAAAGCACTGAGCTACTTATACTGCCCACCATGTAAACTAATTGTTGAGAAGCCCTTAGCCGATCAACAATAACATAGATAAATCTACATTTTTATTCTTTAAGTTATGTCACATTTTGAAATATAAATAACAATGTGATTAATTCATAACAATTTAGTATAGAATATCCTGCTTGAAAAATAAAACTTCGCATCAACATTATTCATGCCTGTTCTCCCGTCATTTCAAAAGTGAATGTTGAGCTTTGCCTGCAGTTACAAATTTTCAAATGGTAGACAGACAAACACTCGTACAGCCACCATGGTTCACAATATATACAACACAGAGCATTGTAAAAAGCTGTGTAAAGGAAGTATAATAAGGAAAGCAATATTTTTTTTTACTTCTCTCTTTAATTAGCATGTTTTAATTTCCTTTTGTAGACACTACTGATACTATTATCATAGTATGAATAATTTGGAATCAGGATACAGACTATTGTTATTGATTATAGCATATATAATAGAGCTTTTGATTTTCATAATCTTTGCCTTTTTTTTCTTTTTGAGGACTCGGAAACATTCAAAAAGAGTGACCTGAACATTCATCAAGTTCTTCAGGAGATGACTTTGAATGCCACTGTCTGTGTTGGTACAGGAATGAGAAATGCTTTCAGCTACACTAGCATCAGTGGAGATGCCACTGCTGTGGACCAGCAGTACACAAGGTAATGGAAGAGTTCTTGCCAAAATGCTTTGAAAACAAGCATTGATCTGGAATGTATAGCTTTTGTAATTATGTTCTATGAAGATTTCAATTTATAGAGAAAAAATCATAGTAACTTATAAACTAAAGAACTAGGTTATATCTAATTGTGGAGTCTATAAAGTAGATGGTGATAGATGAGTATATTGTTTCCAGATATAAAACTGTACAAAGATGTCAACAAACAAACAAAATTATATATTATGTTACAAAAATTACATAGTTTTATATGTTTAAATTAGTTCATAATAGTTTTTCTGATAGATATGGGTATTGAAAAAAACTCTCTGAAAGCCAATGTTAATGATAAGTTATTGATTTATGCAAGTTGTATCAATAATGTTCTTAATAGCTAAGTTTGAAAAAATTAAAACTTTATGTGTAATATTAATCTTAAGGAATTTTAAAGTAATATTTTATCACATAATGAATATTAAAAGTCAAACTTATATTCTGCAAAAAATGGCATATTGTTAGCTTCTAATATTTTTCTAAAATATATTTTAATGACTGATTTCTGGAGTGGGGAGAGAACCAACTTTTACTTCTAAAATCAAAGATGAAGTAACTACAATGTATTTGCTTACCTTAACTGTGTGGTGTGATACTGGACAAAATTATTCTGTTCCTCACAAGCATACCTTTCATGAGTTGATAATGAACTGGGTCAGACAGGGTTTTGGGGCAGGTGTCCCACCTATATGTACACCATTGTTTATGGAAAACAAAGACTTGAATTAGAACTGTGAGAGAATTTGATATTCTGGGGGTTGACTAATGACATTGATGGGTCAAATGCTTATCTGTTAACTAAGATTTCCATTGTTCTTATAAACAGTTAATAAATTAAATGAACAGACCATAAGTTTCTTTTCTATAGAAGCTAGGCCTGACAATCTGTAAGTCACAACTTTGAATCCCATCATTGAACACACTTGCCCTTTCATCCATGGGGGCATTATAATGTGATGGTCAAATCCACTGTTCATTGGTAAAGAGTAGTCCAAAAGTTGATGGTGGTTGATGTTGATTAACTGCCCTCCCTTTAGTCTATCACTTCAAAGTTAGGGAAGTAAGCCTTGAAATAGCTTTCCATAAAATTCACCAAAACACAAACTTGTACAATTATTTTGCCCATATATAAAAACATTGCTAGGGATGATGAATAGCTTGTTACTATTGAAAGGGTCTGCTGAAAAATGTTACTCTGTGCTGTGATGTGTGTATAAAGAATCTAAATGTTATTATTTTGAAGATGCTGAAATAAATGCTTAAGCTAATTTTATGCAGTGTTGTAGTTTTCTTTTTTACTTGCAAGCTTTCCTCTTCTCTACTGAACAATTAAAATAAATTTACTGAGAATTTTTTAGCAATAATTAGGCACTAAGTAAATTAAAACTGGAAAGAAATCAATAAACCAAGTTAACATTTATCAGCTTCTTCTTTTTAGTAATAGTATTTTGTGAGATAAACTTAAATTCTTTGATATTTCTGTTTTTTTAGGTTGAAGAACTTTTTATCTGAAGCTTTAGAGCCCTACAAGTCTGAACTCTCATACATTCTCTTTCCTATGTTTATCCATCTTTACTTGGAATTGGTGACTAATGGTCAGAAGACTGCAGGTAAACAGAATTAAGTGTCCCATCAATATGTTTTGTGGAGTGTTTTTCATTATTTAAGCAGATTAACAGTTTATCTTATTTAGCTTTAATACAAAAACTAATGCTTTTGAGAAATATTTGTTTTAAGAAATTGTATTTTCACAAAATCATATGCATAGTAGAGCTCAAATGTTATTGGTAAAGCAGTGACTTTAGTATTATTGCATTGTTTAGAATACATATATCATGTGAATGTTGTTAAAGTTTGTTCTGAGGTATGTGGTATGAATAATTGTATCCATGGAGGCTTGAATGCTTACTGAATTTCCATAAGTCCTGTTGGTTATCTATTTATCTAAAAAACTATTCATATCATCATGCACCTGGATTTATTTCTTTTTAATTTAAATTAATTATATTATGTACAGTTAAACAGCTGGTTTACGTATAGAAATGGGCAAGGGCATGGCAGATCTCTGTACATAAACAAATTAGTTAACCAATTGGTCAGTTCCATTTTCATAAATGTGGTACTTGTTTCTTCCTTAAGTACATACTACAGTATGATAACTGATGAGTGGCATATTTCATTCAGTTTAATCATGATGTAGTCAATACTTGTGATTTGGTGGTGGTAGTATTTTTTATAAAACAAATTACCATTTCTTTTTATACCTAAATTAAAGTGTGATAATGCAAATTGTGTGAATTTATAATTGTTTGTTAGCTGACTTATCTGCAAAGGGTAAATAAACAATATAAAGTAATCTCTCGATAACTCCGAACGTATAGGGCTAAAGCCATGCCAAGTTATTGAGATAATTTCCACCCACCCCCAAATCACAACTTTTTTGGCCCAAATAAACTGCTATACACTACTGTTGTTTGAAAATAAAATAAATTAAAAAAAACATTAAAAATTAACATTAACAGCACTGCAGACCAAGAAAGATGATGATTGAAGCTTATGGTACCATGTAGTAGGTGACATAAGTGATTGTAGGAGGGCTTAATGCACTTTGGTAAATACTGTATACTACTTGAACATTACTTTATCCATTAAAAATTAAATACATTTTGAATGGTCACTTAAACAATAAATCATTCACTTAAAACTTAGAGATTATTTGAATACACTAAATTATTAACTTGGAAATTAAAGATTAATTTATTTTTTTTATTGAATAAATTATTCACTGTCTGAAGACATCAACTGTTGTGGGGGTTCTGGGGTAACGCAAAGGAAGCTAGCACTGCTGGAATTGGTATCTGAGGAAGAGTATCTAGATGCTGCAGGCAGACCTATGGAGGCTTCACTACTGGTGGAAGGAACATTTTGTCTGGGTTTTTTGACAAGGGTTTAAAAAGTCAGATATTTTCCCCTATTTGTAATTGCTGTGCTGAACCTTGATGACATATGCCCTGATATCTCTCAAAGTTGCATAGTGCTGTTCCAAATCAGGCAACTGCTCAACTACCTCCAGTTGCTTGGGAGAATTTGTAAGGACTCTTCTTGCATTGTTAGAAAGCCTAAATATTTCTCAAGGATGCCGAGTTATATAAAATTCTGAGTTATCAAGGGATTACTGTATTATCAAGTGTAAAGGACTCACTCATTTGTTTTATACAGTTTAGGTCTTTGTAAAATTCAGTGAATACATTTAAAATTTAAGCCATACCATGAGAATTACTAAATAGGTCTTACTTGCAGAAGAGCAAGTAGAAATTTTATTAGGGCAATTATATATAATCTTGGTTTTTTTATGTGCTTGATAGACAAACTGAAGGAAGAAAAACTTAGATTTTTACATGGAAAATAAATTAATATTGTTTATACAAAGATAACAAAAAGAATTTTTTTTCATCATTTTGCTATGTAATATATAAATCCCAAATCTTATTTTATCCTTTTTTAACTAATCATTGAAGTGTGTAAACTTAGGGCTTTTTATAATTACAAATTTACAAGAACAGTTTGAGTCCCAAAACAGAAATCTGTAGTAAACTGGGACATTCAACTAGGTTTATTCAAAAGGTGTGTGAAGAATTCAACTGATTCAGTGTTTGCTTTCATGAATGTTAAATTATAACTTGGTGTGTCACAAAGCTTTTTGTTGGTTGATAAGTGGTGAAATTTTGTACTTCCAATAACTTGATCAAATTTATTTTTCAGCTCAAAAGTTTCATTCCAGACATCATGGACTTTTTCTTCATTCCCAAGAGTACAAAAGTGTAGCAGAGAATCTTTGCAGCATTGTTACCCTTCAAGACCTTACAAAGTTTTCTACTGTAAAGGAACTTAGGTAATAAGATGTGAAAAATTTTCTTTCGATGAAGGAATTAACAAAATACAAAAGTTTAAACCATGTAACTCATAATCATTAACTAGCCAGTGTTCTCGAACCACTTTAATTTCATTTGTGAAAACAACAACAGTTCTCTTTATGGAACTCGGGCCTAGCATGAGTAATTTTAACCCTAGCTAATAATGATATGGATAGTAAGATTAAAACTTGTATGTTAGCTTTACAAGAATTATGAAACCATGCTATATTTATTATATGTACATTTGCATATATAACACATCCAAAATTTTAAGTATTTTTATGGCTTTTTTTTCCTAGAAAAAAAAATTAATTTTCTCAAAAAAAAGAGATAGCTGTTTAAAATTATAGGATATATATGTTTTTTAACATTTATCAGACATTGATAAATAACGAAAAGCTGTGTATGTATTGTTCCTGATACATATTCATTATGTGTTTATAGTTCTTGATTTATTACTGAACTATTGCCTTTCTGTTTTATGATAACTTAGATCATGTGTTTATTGATACTGAATGTGTAATTTTAAGAAGAATATAAAGCTATTAACCCTACGTTTTTGAGTTGATTCATACAGAAATTGCTATGTTTGGTGGCAATCTTGAACAAGAAAAAATCCACTTAACCAGTTTCTCATATAAGACTTTGTATAAGTTTAGAGGTCAATTGCTTGCTATGAAAATGCAGTGAAACTCCCAAAATATTATTTTCGTATTGGTGAAAAGTCTTCCCAAAGCAGGGCTACTTTTGCTTGGGGCCATATCATTTTGACCTAGAATTTCACTGTAAGAGTGTTTTTTTCAATATGTTCATGACATCTACTACACTTAGTAAAAATAACAATAACTACTCCTAAACTACTGTATATGACTTTCATTGGTTGAGGTCTGGTCAGTCATATCTAAGTCTGCCAATCACTGAATGACCTAAGACAATGAAAGTGGTTACTGTGAGAAAAACAAACATTTTGTTTTCTCAATATTCCTTCTGCTTCACAGTTTCCTATCCTCTTTTGATTGGATTATAACATTTGAATGATCTCTATTTCTGATTGTTTTAACTTTAGTGACCCAATTGTGATTGCATCCACAATTTTTGCATGACCAACTGTGCATTTGCAACTAAGACTAGGATAAACATGGCCTTGGACATTTTCCCAATGTATATTGGCTAGTTTAGCCCTAAAAGCAGGTCTTCTATAAGTAAATTACTTTACAAAATGCAAGGGACTTTCACCAAAATCTTGAAACTAAGAGGGAAAAATAACTCATTTTCAGATGAAGAGGGAGAAACAATGAGCAACTAAAGTTGTATGATCAAAAACTCTAATACTAAATTATCCTTTTTAGGCAGTTTAATGCTTTTTATCATTTGCTAGATATTGTAATGCCAAAAGCAGTCATTAATATCTGTACAACTTCCTCCCAATTTTAGGGTTAAATATATACATTTTAAAATAACAGGTAATTTTTTTTGATAGTTAAATGTGTATGTTTTTCTTCTCTCTTAATTGTTTTATTTTCCTCTTCCAGGGAAAATAAATTCCATGTGCAACTCAGTGAAGATTGTGTAGAATATTTCTTGAAATTTTTAAAGGTAAGATTCCTATATACACACTTTTTGTCTTAGCTTTTTAAATGATGTCACTGTTTGCTTCTTTGATGGTGGCTCTTCCTATCATTATGTGTGTGTGTGTATATGACTGCTAAGCGGAACTGTATTGTGAACATGGACTAATAGTACCATCATGCATAAGTGAAGCAAGTGAAAATATACAAGTTAATATTACCCCATGAATTGGTCATGGCACAAAAAAGGTATGTTTATTTAAACTGCAGACTATGGCAAAATGTAACATTCTGTGAGTAATGCAACAACGTAACAAGGGTTATTACCTAAGATTCAGTCAGAGTGCAAACAAAATAACAATTTGTGAAAGGTAAGAAGAGATTAATGCTGAACCTGACCCTCCCTGGTCCAAAACATGAACCGAATCCCAATGATGAAGAAGATGTTAATCGTTATTGTTTTTCAGTTTTCATTAAAACATGAATTCCATTTGTAAATATAGTTTATTACAGTGATAGGTAGAATAAGTCCATGAAATAACATTTTAGAGGCTTAGTGCTGGTGTTTTTCAATAAAACTTTATTTATCTTTAAAATAGGAAACACTAAGAGCTTTATCATTCTATGTGATATTTTAAACGTTCTTTTTTTTTAAATTGCTATGGCAGGCTTTTACTAGGTTAAAGTTTTGGTAGGTTCATATAGTATGTTGAAAAATGGTTGCTGTTAAAAGCTGCTGGTTGAGCCATGGGTAGAGTGAATAGCTGTGAGATCTAATCCAGAAATTCATGCTGAAATAGATTTTTTATTTGTCATGATATTTGAATGGTTATTTGTGACTTTTGTAATTTTGTATTTCAGTTAGCACTTATAATTCTGCATGCCCATTGGTTTTTCCTCTGGTTTCTTGTATGTTTCCAAACATTTGAAACAGTAACATATAAGGAGCTTGAAAAATTATTTCTTAGTATTGCTTTTGTAGAGTTCCTGAAATATGTCAGACTTGTACGTAAAGAACACCTTTCAGTTTGTTAAAAACATAAAACTTTTGTATAAATTAATGTAAATATAAGTAATATAACAATGTTACCAATCTGTATTATATTTTCAGTAAATCATCATTAGTAAATATTCATTTGGATTTTTACCACTCTTTCTCCTCTGCAGAAAAATAGATTCCAGCTTCTGTGTTAATTCTAACAATAACAAAAAAAAGTGAATAAGATCCAAAAATATAATCATAATAATGTAGATGTAAATTAATTTTGTTGTCTTTTAATATTAAATTAATGTTTTTGGTATACTGAAAATCTTTGCATACAAGTTTGATAAGATATCGTGCACTTTTAAGGTAGAAGAAACTAGAAAGCATTTAAAGTTTTGTGAGCATTATAAAGAAAATCTGTGTAACTTTTCAAAGTTAGATTACTTGTATTTTGATAGTACTGTACTTTCAAGGTTGAAAATATTAATTTGAGGTCTTAGTTATTATTGAGCTATTTGTTATTACTGCTGATCTAATATTTTAAGTATATATATATATAAAAGACTTGTTGGAAACTCTTTCCAGCACTGTTGTTCATGAATGTGTCAACAAATGCATGCATCAAACAATAAATGCAGATTTAGTATCAGTCACTTCATCAAGAACAAAAATCACTTGGAAACTGCATCTCAAGCTTGTTTTTTCATGCAATGACTTCTAGTTTTTTTATTTCTAAACATTAATATATATGTTTAGCAGAAAGATAAGATTAGTTACTCAGAAAAAAAATACATCTCTGTATTGGTTATGGAAACTTTCAGTTTAATGTAATAAAAAAATGTTGGTATTTGTAGATATTTGTGTTAATGCATGAAATGAAAAATAGTCATTATTTACACTATGCAGACTGTACGTGTACAATAAATGTTTAACATTTGATTGCAAGTTGAATTGAAATCAATAAAAAAACTTGGGGATGAACATGAATTTATTTTCTCGTACATGTGATATTTGTACCCTACTTTATTCCTACCAGTATTAAACCAGTATTTTTTTGTTTTGCTTAGATACAAAATATTTACCTGTAGATGTAGGCTTTCAGTGAGAAGAAAACATGACTTACCGAGAATCTTTAGGTAGAAGATTGAGGCATCACTTATTAAGTTATTGTACTAAAAAATAGAAAATTGTATTAACAGCATATTTTTTAACACTTTTAACTCATTCTTTGATACTCCAGATTAGATAACCAATAGGCAATGCTATAGACGTTTATTAAATTTGTGTGTTTTCTTTCCAGGATAATGATCAGCTTATACTTCTTCAGGTGTTAAACATGTACTTTTGTATCGAAGGTGAGGAGAAAGTGATTTTTGTTAGATATAAATAAATGACGTTTATTAATGGATTTTTAATAACATAAATGAATTAACTTTGTTTCACCCAGTCTTTGCATGAAGAGTATTTACAATTAATTTTACAACTAAGCTGTCTGTCACTTGTTTTCCTGCCACCTCTTGTAAAGTAAAGAGTTTGGCATAAAAGTAAAGCAAAATGTAATTCTAATAATCAAGAGTAAATTTAAGTCACTGCTTGGCAGTAACTGTGCTTTGAATTGTAGCTTCCAAAATTGTTTTGTTAACAGACTATGCATTCTAAATCTTTCCTATAGGATAGTTACAGCTGTAAAAACAATTTAATACTAGTTTCGGTTTCTAGCTATTTCTAGCTGATGAAAGTGCACTAAGTCCAAACTAAATTTCAGTATTTCATTATAACTTATTTTAGGTAAACATGAAAATTAGTGTTGAGGCATGCTGAGGAAACACTGTAAATTAGGTTGCTCATATGTTTCTTACAATAGATTTATTTCCAACATCATTTTATACCAGTATTATGTTCCAGACTTATTCAGTCTTGTCTATTCAGTGATAGAAGGACTAAGAGTGAACTTATAAATGCCATTTTATTTTTGTAAGAATTTGCATAACAAATACTTGGATTCATTTTTCCAATGACACAATAGTCAGATGAATATGTTTTGGGTACAACATGCATTTGTCATAACTATTGCCTTGACCCCCAATGGTTCATCAGCATGTCTGAAGGCTTACGATGCTAAAAATCAGGTCTCAATACCAGTGGTGTATTTCTATGCTTAATAACAAACAAAGACTGTTGCCCATTGGCATGATGTTTAGTCATATGAGTGTAGACCTGTTTAAGGATGCACCATGAGTGAAATGTGGACAACTATCATCAGATTCATGGTGTTTGGAATAATAGTTTTGTTAATGACTTCTCACTGTCTTTGACAGAGGTTTTCTTCTATCTTTGAAGGTATCTTTTTATTCATCATTGGCATACAACAAATTCGTATTCATTCAGCTTGATTGAATGTCTTGATAATGTTATTGAAATGTGTGAGCCATATTAACTACCAGAAATGTTACAAAAGTGTTTCAATTTCACTGAATAGTGTAAGTTATAATGTGTAACCTTGCAACTGACTGTACTCGGCAAGTTGTGATTTCACTGCCTGATACATAGGATAAATATAAGGTTAGTGTAGATTAATTCAGCGGTCATCTTTTACATGTTGTACATTTGCATCACAAAAAAAACAGATTTAAACATTTTGAAATATAACAAGAGATGGATCTTAACATTTTAACATAACAGTTTTGATGTCAAAATAACCAGCACTAGCCATAAACATCTTTTAATATGAAATGTGATAATGATAAATGACTTGCTTAAGGGGTTTGAAAATGAGGCATACAATAAAGTAATAGATGCAACTAGGAAAAAATTACCTAAATTGAGCTGATACTCATAGAAAAAGATAAGGATATGGTAATAGGCAAGCATATTTTTCCAAGTTATATATAGTATTGTAGTTCCATAACAGGTGAAACAATGTCCACAGTAAATGTTTATTTTTTTGGCTGACACGTGTAGGCAAAATTCCCATTTTATACACTCTTGTCCATTATTGTTCTTTTGTACTAAGCCATGCTTTTCAACTTTGTTTATGATGATAAAATATTAATTTTTCAAATTATATGAAGTAGCTTAGTTGCTACCTTAACCCTATCTAGACTGGGGATCACGTTTCAGGTTTTGACTGCGTGCCTGTATATCAAATATCAACATTTTATTTAAAAGCTTTTATTCAAATATTTTAAAATCGACATTTTGTCTTTTTTGTAATATTTAGTGTAATTCACAAAGAAAACTTTAATATCTGAGCTTTTTCTACACAGTTCTGAGGATTCTTGCCTGTAATCAACATACCTACCAATTTTTTTTTTATACAGTTATTCTGACCATCCCAAAGAATATGCTTATACTTTATAGGAAACTACTGTTCTATAAGTTTGTTTCTCTCGTGATTTTCATTTTCTTTCTCTGATTTTATAAGTGCAGTCTCTCTCCTCACCCTTTTATGAAGTCAGAGCATATGATATGTATTGCTACAAATAATACTTAACATTGAAAATAGCTGTAGGTATAGGTTGAATACCAATGGATAGAACAGATTATAAACAATTTATGTCAGTGTAAAGTGAATAAAGTGGTGTGAGAAGTAATTTACTGTTTCATGTGAAAGTGATTGAAATACATCTCCCAAAGAGAAGAAAAACGGGATTTAATGGGCAGTTTAAAAGACTTAGAAAAAACCTATCAGCTCTGGGTTTGTTTTGTGGTTGCTGTAAATGTTCTTTTTGCTCCTGAAGTTCTTGCATTTAAAATCATATTTGTTTGAAAGTTATGGTTGTTTTTGTTTATGACAATATATCAGATAAGCCTTATTAGGTTTAGTGAGTATACTAACAATGGTAAAATGTTCTGATAACTCAAATCCTTAATTATTGAATTTTATTGTTAATTAAGTTTAATGCATCCAAACAAAATCAATAAGTAATGAAAAAGAAACTATATTTTTTAGATACACATTGATCTCAATCAAGAATATTTTTAGTAAAAATACTGCTATCTAGCATGATCTGATGCTGTCGTGACAAGTCAGGGCATAGGTCACCAATAAATCTTCATGAATTTTTGCTGTGTTTTATGATTTTTAGTTGGAAGTGGTGACTAATGGTGTCAGCAAAATAAGGTATCAAAAGAAATATGTTAATGTATATCAACCAAGTTGAAACTGATTGTATATATAAAATGAAACTTTTTGATCAACACTAAAGAAATTGAAATTCTAAAACAAAAGAAATCCTGTAACTTACTCAAAGCTTAGGAAATGGTTTGAGTCATGTATAAAAAAGCAAGTTAGACTGGAGTGTGTAAGGAAGTTTTGTATCTTACTGTAAGCCTGTTAATTAATTTCATGCTCTGAATAGTTAGCTTGTTTTCAAATAGAATAAATAAATTTGTAAGTAAATATAATTTGTATTACATACAGTTTATTTGTTGAGATAGGCCAGTTATTGAATGTTGGTTATGCTAACCACAAAATTTGAAGTTGAAGAAATAATTTTTTTTTTATCATTAACATATGAATGGACCTTCCAATATTATTTTTACTGAATAATCCTAAATAACCTGGCCAACAATAGAAACCATTACAATAGTACATTCTGTTTTTTGCTGTTGTAGCTCAATTCTGGTCTAGATAATTTGAAATTGAATGCAAAAATCATTATTTTTGGTTTGTTTCCACTGCTTCTGAATTATTCATTTTCAATTTTAATTGTCTCTTTTTTTTTTTATAGAGTTAACTGATCATAAATTAGGTGTTTTGGAAAACCTGTAGTGCTTTAATTAAGATTTTCTCTGTTAATAAAACCCCAAATCATTTTCAAGTTAAGCTATGCTATTAAAAGCTACACTATTATTTTGAAATAGAAATATGAAAAGATAATATGTATATTAACTGAACAGTTTTATAGATACAATGCTATAAAATGGTGATTTAATTGTATTTGTTATTATTCCAGTGGTTAATTTATCAGATCGAGATTCTAATAATCTGCATATTAAAGAAGATAGTCCACCAACAAAACTCAGCCAAACTTCAAGTCCTGCTTGTGAGATTAAGAATGAAAAAAGTCCTAAGTCACTTACTAATAGTAAAGAATCTTTGGAAGCTTTGAAACAGGCCATCAGGAAAGTGTCAGAAAGCCCTCCTTGCCTTCCTTCAGTGTGTTTGTATACTGTGAACAATACACATCAGGGGTATGTGATTTTTTGTTTTTTTAATGAAAACTTAAGACAAATGTATAAAAAACTTGGTTTATATTTCAGGTGACTGAATATTAAAAGTTTAATACTATTAGAATTCTAGATAATATTCTAAAAATCAAAAGAAAAATTTAAAGGTATTGAAATTGTATTTGAATGTATTGCTGTTTAATGGTTATGTTTTGGCAATAAAGTTGGAGAACAATTCTAAACGGTTCTTGTTCTACTATCCGTAATGAAGCTGCAAGAATGAAATGTTCATTGAAATAAAGTTTTTTAATATTTTCTGGAGAGAAAACATCTTTTTTTTTTCTCTAACTTTAGTGCTAAAATGTCTAAATCTCTCCAGTATGCAATACAAATTCTGAAAAAAAAAGGGTGCATAATAATTGTTTGTGTTCACTTGTAATCTTTATAGACTTATTTTTGTCACTTTTGACATAGAATAAGGCACTCATATTCATGGAGACCAATTTTTATCTTCATAGACTTAGCAGTATTAGCTTGCCCTAGGTTACTACACTTCTGTTCATGAAAACTGATTCTTATCTTCATAGACTTAGCAGTATCAGCTTGTCCTAAGTTACTGTTCTCCTGTTCATGAAGACCAGTTTTGTCTTTATAGACTTAGCAGTGTCATCTTGTTACAGGTTACTACAATCCTGTTCATGAAGACCAGTTTTTATCTTTATGGCATTAGCAGTATCAGCTTGTCCCAGGTTACTACACTCCTGTTCATTAAGACCAGTTTTTATCTTTATGAACTTAGCAGTGTCAGGTTGTCCAAGGTTACTACTCTTCTGTTCATGAAGACCAGTTTTTATCTTTATGAACTTAGCAGTATGAACACGTCCCAGGTTACTAAACTCCTGTTTATGAAGACCAGTTTCTTTTTTTTTTTAATATCATTGTAGCATCAGCATATTTCATTTAATACATTTACAGTGAAGGTATGCTGTCACAGGCTACATTCCTGTTCATGTCCAGTTTTTTTCATTATAGACTTAGTAGTGTCAGCTTGTCCCAGGATACTACTCTTTTGGCTGGTGGCTTTGAGAATTCAAGCATTCGTCTATGGAGTCTGACACCCAAGTCTTTAGAATCAATGAAAACTGATGTTGATGTGTCTAAGATTCGTCTTGGGTACGATGTTTTGCCAGGAGATTATGAAATGGAAAATGATGTTTCTTCAAGGTAGGTATTTATATAAACCTAATCATTTGTTTTCAAGTCAGTTGTTTGAAATGAAGTGAACAAAGTCATGTGAGTATTTGTGGTCACTGATTAGTTCCTTTGCTTCCAATTTAATTATGTATATCTTATTTTGGCATTTTGTTAAAACTTGAAACTGATTTATTAGAAATAATTATAGATAAATATGAATAATCATGTAGTTTCATTTAGTTGATCAGGAATGCTCATAGATAAACAGTCGCATAGCAAGGGTTCTCAGCACCTGAGGGCAAAGACACTTTTGGCACCCCCACATATGAAATGTTTGATTATTTGTTTTGTGACTCATTACCCACTTAATG